TCCCTCTCTTCCCTTTCCTCTTTCATCGTCTATTTTCACGCTCTCTCCCCGGTTTTCTTCGAGTCACCGTTCTTCGGGTTCCTTCGTCGTCTCCCATCGAGATCACACCGCCAAACTGCCGGCTACCATCGTCGAGTGATTAATTTACGATCCCCATTCCGTCCCCTTCGTCACTTTTACCATTTCGATTCTCGACACCCCCACGAAACATTTAGTATGTTCTAATAATTCTCGAATAGCATCGATTTTCATTTCAGAAATATTACACGTGCGCAAAATTGTAGAGAATTGTAGAGAAAACATTTCATTGAATATGAAATTTAGATAAGAGGACGATCCATTTGTAAAATTCATCCTTTCGTGTTTATAATTCGCGAACCAGAGTAGTTTTCATATACTGATAGCAATTTATATAAAGCCTTGTCGAGTTTACTATAATAGGAAGAAGTGATTTCGAAGTATATCATATTTTATCCCTTCAATGATGCATAAGATGATATAAGATGAAAGGATTCTCGCAACAAAATAAATATGTATAATATCATTAAAATGTACTGACTTTACGCGTAGCTGTATGTCTTGTGCATTTATATTTTTATACATCTTGTACACTTATCTTATATATTTACATGTCAAAGAAAGATTCTCCCTGTCTCTGGGTGCAGGTGCTAGAGAGATTAATATTAAAGAACAGAATCTCACACCAGCACACAGATGCAATTTTTAAATAACCTTTATTAAATTGTCGGTGCTTCTAAGAAAAAAAAATAAAATAAACGAGAAGCTGCACTTAGCGAAATCACCCTCCGTTCAGCGCCGATGATGTCGCTGTTTCAGACCGACGCGGGCCTTAATAAGGCGAGACTTAGTTCTGCGTCTCAGGTGGCAGACTGGGCCTCAGTAACGGCAATTTATATCGCTAAATGCACCGACGAAGTTCCCGAGCCATTTAATCGAGACATAAATGTTAAATGCTCACCGTCTCTTTATTTATGTCCCGTTCGGGACGATACGAGCAATTTTTTATATTCGCGAACCTGTCCTTCGACGCAGGGTTTCGCAAATAGAAGTCGGGGAAGGAATGCGCGATGCGTTCAGAGAGTGCATCTCGTGGAACGTAATAAAAAAACATTGATCAGAAATTATCGCAAAGAAAAGACACGACCCGCGCTATCGTTTTATGAGTCCATCGACCATATAATCGGATTTATATTTTACGATACTTAGAGTCGTCTATATAATCTTTTTTCTTTCATCGGATAAGAAACGGATCTTCTTGCAAAAATTGATAAAATATAAATTTTCTATATCGGCAATTGACCAGCAAAAATTTATTATTTTTATTGTTACTCGTATATTATTAGTATCAGTTTCGTAAAAAAGTATAATATAAATATCTAATATTCTAATACAAGTGTCATAAGAGATAATATATCACGCTATGTTTAAATGAATTGTGATTGATCCTATTTTGTAAAGCAATTCATTAAAACTTGCTGTATTTTAATTCAACCTAACGTCTAGTCCTCGCGATTAAAAAAAAAAAAAGCGTCACAAAGAAAGGTCTAATTTTTTTTACTCGGTACAATCTTTCCTGGCCGAGCTCATGGATCATTAAGAATTTTCCGGCGCAGGGACGTCAACTAATAGCATTGGCTGGATTACAAAGTTTTCAGAGCCCCGGTCCCCGCACCTGAACACCTGCACCCCTTTCTCGCACAACCCTCTCGGAACGCAACCTTTCCATCCCTTACGGGGATGGCGCGAGAAGTTTCTACCCCGCGAGGACGGACTTTTCGCGGCATTTAGCCGCCTCGGCTCGGGAGACCGTAAAGTTAAATATCGGAGAAGGATTTCTAAGGGGCGAGGAGAGGGGGAGGGGGGAGGTAAAGACGGTAGGAGGGTGGAAAAAATACCGCCGCCACGTAAATTGGCTTCGCCGCCGGAGGCTGTCGGTTAATCGCGCGAAGAGGTTGCGGCCGAGCAACAGACAAACCGGGAACAAATAAAGAACAAAGTTAAAATTCAATTCAACCGGAAGAAACAATCGAAGTTCCGGTCGCGAGAACCGAGGAGAACCGCGTTTACAATTGTTTCAGCAAAGTCGAGAAATCCAGGGAGACGCACGGAAATTTTTCATCAAAATAGTGCCTGACTTGAAAGAGAAGGGAATAATAAAGTTATAACAAACACACGTCTCTCGAAATGTATGTATTCTTTAAATATTTATGCAAAAAATTGATTCCATTCTCCCGAAATAAAATACATCTATGTGTTATTTATAAAAGAACCGTCGCGAAATCTAGTAATCGTATTTTATAAAAGTTGCTTCAAGTAACGAAGAGCGAACACGAGATCGGGATTTCCAGACAATGTGCTTAATCCCTCTTGAGAAAGAAGCATTTGTACGCTCTCTTTGAGAGAGCACCGTATCGGATTACACGCGCAGTAGAACAGGTCAACCTTTCGTCAGGCTTCGGTAAAGCGCGCATGGCGTATACGCGAATGTTTCCGATCAATTTGTTCGCGTCGTTAAAATTTTAAGAGACGCTGTGGCATTTCGTCAAGACGTCAAAAAAAGCGATTATAAATCCATCGTTAAATAATTCAGATCACAAGATTTAAGTAAGACACAATCTCTCTATACAATTGATTTTGTGTTAAGAATTAAATGCGTACAAATTTCTCTAATCTCGATGTCTTTTCACATTTCACATTTTCTTACGCGAATCGGTTCTCATTCGGCTATCTCGAGATAAATGTCAGTCCGTACGACGGGATTTTGTTTACGGCGTAAATCATGCGATATCCCCGAGAATGGATCAAAGAATCTGTCTGACCAATACAAACTCCACGAAGGCTGGCTTCGACACGAGTTAATCTTTCGAGCTGATTACAAGTCGCGGACACAAATCCAGTTTCACCGTCGAAACCATCGTGTAAGTCCGCTTACGCAACCAAACACATATAACCGGCCAATCGTCGATTCGTAATCCGGGAATGTTTTCCGCCCGGTCCATTATCGGCTTAGCACGGCTCTCTCTGCCGTTGTCGTCGCTGTTCTCTTCGCTTCGACCTGATTCCACATGTTGGAGAAAAAATAAAAACGCCACCTTCTATATACCCGCGCGCACTCAGATAAATCGATAGTGTTAAAGATAGTTTCCTCACACGCCACTCACATTTGCAATTCCTTCGGGACATTTGGAAAAAAGCAAAAAGCCTTTGTATCGAGATGGACTCGATGGTGTAGTGCAAATCCTATAGATATTTTCATGGGAATAACTGTAGTTTGCAAATTGTGTTTTTTTTTTTTCGGTAATTCTTGTAAACAGTTGGAAATTAAAAAAATTAATTATTCTATTGCGTTACGATTTCGCGTTCATTTCATCAATTTAGAAATCTCTCATTACATATCATCGACATTATATAATAAATAGTGTGTAAGATAACTTAAATATAAAAATTTATTAAAAGAGAAATTTCTTCGATCAATTTTATCGATACCCATGTAAAGTTGATGTTATTACTTTCCCGGAGGCACAACAATAAGACATTCTACTTTTCTATATCTATTTTTTATCCTACTTTCACATACTTGCGTGAGAAAGACATTTTCGTACACGTACACCGTATTATCGGAGGATATTATTCGTGGCGCTATTGAACATGCTTAAAAATGCATAAGCCACTCAACCCGGACCGGAAGCATTCCGGTTATCCCATTATCCGGAATCCTAAGGGATAAGAATCACCCTCCCTTAATGATGACCAGCAATATTTGCCCCTTTATTTTCTTACCGAAAGGGAGACAGTGCGTATTAACACACCTTATTTTATGAAAACAAGTTTCATATTCATAAACACGAATATTACGTGCGAAAATATATTGACCAAATCATGAATTACGATAATTATATTTAGTATTTATTTTCCATTTAACTTAAGAGTAAAAAGTATTGTAAAATTGTAAGTTCTATATAAAAATAAAAATCTACATTAATTTTATTATCAATCTGTAATATCGAAAATTCGATTACTTTTCTATACTTTTTCGTATGCGTGTGAATACATTTACTGATTTTTAGAAAAAATTTGCTTCCATATAAAAATTTCTATAAAATTTATTATTTTGGTATAACATTTAAAATTGTTGCAATTTACTTTATCAACTTCGAAGCATTTCGATAACGAAGCGAAATGTCAATTCCGCCGCGAGTGCAATTAGTGTCTTACGAGTGTCGTATAAAATGTATCGCGCCAAGCAACTCCAGCAACTCCGATGGTCGCGCGGGCGCGGCAAGGAGATTATTCTATAACTTTAACAATCAATTATTTAGAATTCAGTTATCTCGGCGGAACGACCGGCGGTATATTCAATTTTAAAACTGCAAACAGTCGCCCGCAGTAGCGCTCGCAGACGACAAGCACTCAATATGTAAAATGCGATGTAACTTCCGCCGCGACCGCAACTCCGGCACCGCGCGGATTAATCAAGCGGAATTCACGCCCGACTTGTAAACGTTGATCAAATATCCGCGAGCGAGTTAACGACCGCGGGATTGTCTGCGAAATTCGACTAATTCAACTTTGTCACGGTGCTGCGCGACATTTTTCGGCATCCGTCGAAAGTTAAATTACGTTAGCCCTTTCGGCGTCCCCGGGAAATTAGGGGCGTACTTTCCCCTCGTTTATAACACGCGAACGCACGGTTTATGTGTGCAGAAATTTTTTTCACAAGGTTCTCTTTTTTTCTCTTTTACGACAAGCCCCAGTTTTCAAATCTGATACGGTAAAAAATTCTCCAAAAAATTCCTAAAGTACTTCACAATGTAGAGAGTCGTGAACAATTTCCATCTCTCTTTCTGCACACGTGCATATTTGAATATGTATATAATTCATCGTCGCATTACACGCGATACTGCATTCAGCGCGACCGCTTTCAATATAAAACGGAGAAATAATAAATGGGTCGGTCGGGTGGTCCGTTGCGTGCTCACCTGATAAAGTATGTCGAGGGTGATCGGATAAAGCATGTGCTCCACGATGACTCGAAGTACCGTGTTGGGTCCGCCCTGGGTCTCGCCGGCACTGGTTACCTGATTTTGTCCAGGAATCGCAACCTGGTTATTCGAGTTCTGCAACAGAGAATGAAAACGGAAACGAAATTAAGCGCTTTGTACGAGCGAATCAATTGCTATCGACGCATTCACGCGTGTCGCCTGAGAAGTATACTAAAGATACAAGTTGGCCAAGTTCCATAAGACGTAAATTCCATTCCAAGTGATATAACTTCCAAGTGATATCATCGAAAATAAAAACTTGGTTCTCTTGTATTTTCAGGATTTCGTGTGTAAGCAGATAATTGAAGGTTTGCTTATAATAATTAATTTATTATTGTCATATATATAACTATTCTATATTTAAAAAACCAACAATGAAATAATAAAAATAATTGATGCAATTATTTTTATCCAATATACGCTAAGATCTGTGTTAAACTTACTCGATAATGTAAAAACATTCTAACCGTATACCATTCTGATCAATATTTAGATCGTATTATACAAGTGTATTGATGATAAAATAAATATCACGAGTTTTATGTACGTATCATTTGTCAGAATCATTTGCAGTGTTTGCAAACTGCAGCCATTCATATTATATAGACAAAAAATATTTATCTTACATAAGATAATATAGTCATTTTATAATTTTATATTTTAAATTATAATACAAACGTAAACATTTTATATTTATTTGTATGCAAAGTTATTGTGTGCGTTTCAGTAAAATAATTTAAAATTCGATGATTTAAAAAATACATTATGGAAAATCTTACGACTTCGATACGATGTATGATCCTTCTTCTTCGCACGATAAGAAACAGATCATGAAAATTCTGTCTCGGCTTGTCCGCTGAAGCGTGATGAAGCGGAATGGAAAATGATTTCTTTGAAGTGAGAAGCAGAAAGCGAGCGTCGGAAAAAAAACGAAGAGAAATGCGGGAGGGCAAACGAAAATAGATGCAAGAGTATTAAAATCGGACGCATACTGAGCGTAAAAACGAGGAGACATTATACTTTGTAAGTGAAAGCCGTATAATGGACGATAGCGCTGCTGGGTTATTAAAAGAAGCCGTGTTTTTCCGAGTCTCATCAAATGAAACACCCGGTACGTTCGGTCTTAATATTAAACTGGAAGATTGTGGAAAAGAAATTGTAGCAACAGGAATCACGCGACTTTTCTATAACGATCGATCGATAATTATATATTTACAAATAGAATATATAAGTATTCTACTTAAATATTTAATTGCTCATTATATTCTTTAATTTAATTTAATATTTAATAACTTTACTTCAATATTTAATTACTCATTATATTCTTTTCTTAAAAGAATTTGAGCCAGTATCACGTTTACAGCACGCGGAACTGGTATAAAAAATAAAATCATCAGAAATTATTTTTCTGCGAATATTTTGTTCGCAAAATTACTCTATTACTTTAAGATCAAAATCATGTTAAAAACATGATAAAGCATTATTCGTCCTTCCTATCCTTCGCACGTGCGAAATGCGTCTGGCGTACCGTTGCCGTTTTCATCAGCTGCCGCTGCTGGTAAAGCTGTCAAAGTGAACTTTAAGGGGTAAGACGTGGCGGGGACATTAGCATAAAATGCTAAAGAAACGCGCCACATTAGAATTTCGATGTAGATTAAAGCGCGACGCCCGGCAGGACTCCTAAATCTGACTTCGTAAAAATAACTTCTCTCCGCGCCCCGAGTATTCTAACAAAATTTCCACGTCGACATAAAATCGCCTTCGCTTCCTAATTCGCGCAGAATTTTCGGATAATTCAATTCTCGGTGATATAAGTAGCAAGTTAATTATCCAGTTGTTGCAAATAAAGATTCCCGAAACGCGAACACATGTACAATTAAAAATAAATTTGAAGGCTTCTTATGCCAGACAATGAATTGTCCAATTTTATTATTAATGCATTATATATCTAATAAATTATTATAAAGTGAATACAAAAAAACCTCAATTTCAACTCTGACGAATAAAATACGAATTGAAGACGTACAATTGTATCTCGATTATTGCAGCGAGCGCAATGATTGTTATTAGCTTTCATCGGAAGCCATTTCAAACGAATTTCAAACGCAAGATTGCTGTAAATACACATGGCTTCGATGTAGCACTTTTCACGAAGCGGTATACAATATCTTTAACAAAGACGTTCGGTAAAAGCAATCCGTGAAATAACCGATAAACAAGCAAAAGACAAATACAGACTCGCGAGGAGCCTGAACAGTCTTCACGACAAAACGTAATCGCGGATATGCTACACTTAGAAGATGTTGCATTTAACCGCGCAATATCTTGACCTGAAAAAGTACGACGCGCTGAGAAGGGATATAAAAGCGAGAGATAAAACCAAGCTACAAAAAACGTATAGTTGTTCAGCGGCGAATGATGATCGCAACAATTCGGAAGAAGTAACTCGAGTGCATGACGTGGGAGTAAAGTTCCACTTCGCGGGACGCTTCATAAACGCGAGAGCTTTTGATTATGCGGCGATGCTTTTTTATATATTCGAACGAATCGAAATATTCAACATGCAAGAAAACATTGAAACGTGTCAAAAAATGAACGTGTGTTTTGTAGTTTTTAGTTTTCAAATGTTATGGGGATAAAAATTAATTTTGCAACAATATTAAGAGGGAACCGCCTTAAAATCATAAATAAAAATCTCTTACAAATCGATATTTTTTCGCTCTTAAATTTTTCGAAAAATAAATGCTAATAAGATGTGAATCATTTTAAAAAATTACTCGAATCAATAATTTCTCACAAACTAAATATCGGAGTTAAAGGAATAATCAAATGGCTGTATATTTCGTTCTATGAAATTTATAAGTGTACTTTACCTCGGCCTCGTTTACTATCATTTTGCTTTTATTTTTGATAAAAGGCGAGCTTTTACGCATAATTCGGTAGCATTTCGTTTGATTGTATGTGTTGGTTTAATTGCGACGTAAAGTAGATCGTGACGTCGTCGCGAACCATCGGTGGAAACTACCGTCGAGCGTATCTACTAATAATTTTACGAGCGATTTTATCAGAAGTTCGCATCGCGCGCTCGCGGTTTAGTCGAGTTTCCGCACGGATTCGAAGCGGTCTCCGAAGTTGACGAGGTCTAAACCTAAAATGTTACAGTTTCTAACTGTAAATGCGCTGCAAATAATTTACAGAAAAAGGAGAGACGCATCGGGGAATTAAAATAAAAATAAATCAATTGCTTATATAAATAATTGGCAGTAAATATGAACGAGTCAACTGTTGAAATTATTTCAACATGAAACTAGAAGAATAAATGAAGTAGCTCGACAATCCATTTACCTGGATCATCGTGACGACCCTTCAGGACGAATAATATTCGAGATCGTCGCGCTTTCTTAAAAGGGAAGGATTAATTTCAACATCTTGACATCGAGCAAAGAAAAGAGAGGGAAAGA